CCCAGGGCGTTAGCTTTCTCCCGGACGCCTTCCATCCTGGAAGGATCTGGCCTCTTCCTGGAGAGCTCCGTTTGCAACCAAATCCGAGGCCGAAGGCGGAGGTCTGCTTCTTTCTGACTCCTGTCCTCCTTCCCTCCGGACCGAAGGCGCAAAATCCGCTGGTCTGGATGGCAGTCCTTCCCACCGGAGGGAGAGTTGGGGGCTCATTCATTCCTATGGGATTTGGGCGCATCCCTAAAAGGCAGGCAATCTGGTGCTTCATGGGAGGCCTGTCTTAAACCTAAGTCGGAATTGAATTCTTTGACAATGTGCCAGTCGCTTGCAAATGAACCGGGTAAGACAGGTGCAGGGTGGCCGGAGGCCCTCCTCCTTTTCCAGGACCTGTCCTCCATTTCAGCCTCCTGCCCAGGAAGAATTCCAAAGTGTCCTCCATTTGGAGCACGACTAAAAAGCACGGACTTACATTTATAGGAGTCTTTCGAGCTTTACTTGGGAATGCCCTCCTTTTTTATATACTGTCCTCCATTTGGCGGTGCCTGGTCCTCCCTGGCGGTGAGGACGCCGCGAAGAGGTTATTTTTTACCCGGCTTTGTATGTCACCCCTTCAGCGCTCCAGTCTCGTAATCGTAGGGAATTCGGGTGCGACCAGGGACAGGTGTGAACCCTTCCAAAACTCCTCCGAAATTGGGGCAATTTGGAGAGAGCCAGCGTGGGGCAACGGTTTGAATGTTGTTTGATTCTCTGCTAGGCCATGAAACCCACTCTCTCAGCCTCAGGGAAGGCCATAGGAAGCTCCTAAGAATAAATCTTTCCAAGAAAACTCCTTAGAGTCGGAAAGCCCGAAGGGAAGCTAGGGAATTTAGGATCTGTAGTTTTGTGAGACATTTAGCCTTCTCTGTCAGAGAGCGCTCTGGTACCAGAATAAACTGCAATTCCCAGGATTCCCTAGCACGGAGTCAGGGCAGCTAAAGCGGTCTCAAACTGGATTATTTCCGAAGTCTGTTTTGGACCATTGTTCTCTGCCCACGGGGGCTTCTCCCTGGACCCTAAACACGCGAGTTTAATTCATTCACCGTTAATTATTCCACCCCTTCATAAGCAATCGCCGCCTTGGCAGCACTTTTCTCCAAGTAGCAGCTGCAGGAGCACTAAGGATAATTCCCATTTCTGCGGAGTTAGTAGTCTAGTTCTTTTGGGAAAAGTCTGCTTCCCTTGCCAGCAAAATGGGCTCTGTGTGTGTGTGTTTGTGTGTGTGTTTGTGTGTGTTTGTTGCAACCTTAGAACCGCTGCCCACGAAGCCAGTCATTGAAGTCAATGGGACTGGCTCTCCTCAGTAGGCCTAGGTGGGTGACACACATTGCCTGCCGGTCGCTGCATGCCTTTCAAGGCCTTTCCGATTGATGACACCCCAATCGTAGGGTTTTCTTGGCCAGATTTCTTCTTCAGAGACCTCACAACAAAAAACAACAGGAATATAACCGGGAGAAAAATGCGTGTGGGGCACAGGGTGACCAGGTATCCTAACTACAGAGGCACCGTAAAATGTAGGACTTTTCAAAACAAATGTAGACATGACCAAATAAAAGCTAGAAACAAACACTTATAGAAATGCAAACTCATGCGTCTTAGGGGGGTTGCAGACTGCCAGAAATAGTGTGAATTCAGTCC